CTAATTAATAAACTTAAAATCTATCAGATGGGTATCTACTACCATTCTGGTATATGTTATTCAGTGCAATACTTGCCCTTCCTAATAGCTGGAAAATGTACCTAGAGAAATAGTGTGTTATTACAGGTCATGAATCATTTTTGTTCATGGCAATAATGAAACACAAAGTGAAGACAAGTTGAAAGATAGAAAGTGACCACAGAGGAAGCGTGACTGAGAATCACGGTAGTTTGTGTCCTTTTTGCCTGTCAGTATTCTTTTAATGTAAAAAATTGGAGGGGATTTTTAAATGTCATAAGCATATTTGAAATGAATACTAACTGATAGTGATAGTTATAAATACCTTGATATATTTAATTGAACAGAAAAAGTAGATTAATTGGTAGGGGGAAAGTATAAGGGGATTCATTCTATGTGCACTCACTAGAGAAATACATTACAAGATTCAGAGGCTAAAAAGGAAGCAAGTCAAATAAAAATGAGCAGTATGCTTCAGTTTTTAACAAGCTAAGTAATGGATTCAGCATCAATCAGTTTCCAGTCAAAATATTTAGTTTCTTCCTTGATATTCTGTAACTCAGACAAATAGTTGTCTTTTTGTGTAGGGAGTCAGCCACAGTAGTCAGAACAAATCCTTCAAAAAAGAACAAAAAACAAAAAAGAAAACAACAAACCATGAAGCTAATGAAAGATGTGTATAACCTGTAATAGATTACTTACCCAGCTAGACCATGAAACTTGACAACACTGCTGGAAGTAGAGGCGTATCTGCAAGAATGCTTAATTCTTGAGAAAATCTAATTGCAATCCTGCTTCAAATAAGTATTTTTTCATATTTCTGCATTTTATTTAGGCATAACATTCATTCTCCAGTCTGTAACATTTTTGCAGGTTAATATAAGTGCTATTCATACTACAGTTATAGCAAAGATGTTGTGTTGTGCATACTGTTCTTGTTGCTATGTAGATACTCTTACAGTTAGAGTGGCCGGACAGGCCTTTAGCTGTGAGGTACAGGAAGCCATACATTTTGAAATGCTTGTTGGGGTTTTCTTTAAGGCTTACTTTTTTTTGAAAAAAAGAATCACAGAATCACCAAGGCTGGAAAAGACCTACAAGATCACCCAGTCCAACCATCCACCTATCACCAACAGTTCTCACTAAACCATGTCTCTCAATACAACGTCCAAACGTTCTGTGAACACCTACCTCCAGGTGACTCCATCACCTCCCTGGGCAGCCCATTCCAGTGCCTGACCACTCTTTCAGAGAAGTAGTATTTCCTAACTTCCAGCCTGACTCTCCCCTGGTGCAGTTTGAAGCCATTCCCTCTAGTGCTATCATCAGTTACATGAGAGAAGAGGCTGACCCCCAGCTCACTACAGCCTCCCTTCAGGTAGTTATAGAGAGCAATAAGGTCTGCCCTGAGCCTCCTCCAGACTGAAGAAGTCACACAGTAAACAGAATTCATGTTTTCTGAGGAAAAGATTGGGAAAAATGCATCATATTCACTATGTTTGTCTGTCTGTTTGCTTGACTGTTACTTTGGTAAGGAATCTACTGCCTTGATGTTTTTGAACAGCACTCTGCTATTTTAAAAGATTTTACTCTG